GCATATTGTTGCAAGGGAAGATGAAGGTTGCATCGCGGGCCCGGCTGCCTCCACTGTTCGTCTTCTTGGAGTTGAGGTCCTCGAAGATGCCCAGGAGCTTGAGCACGTGGCCGCTTTGTACCACCGTCTTCTGGTACGTTGTGCGACCACTTTCTGCAGTAGCAAAAGGAGGTCAAAAATTAGATAGGTGAATAAGCAGAAAGGTAGACGAAAGGCTTGAACCGCGGTCCGTAAATTTCTAGTCCGACGCTCTGCCATCTAGGTGGCTAACCCAGAACTAATACTATATTCTGTCAGAGGCACCGACTGTAACCCAAGTGAACTGCTTGCTTCTGTCCAGGAGCTTAATTTGAGTTAATAGATAGGAAAATAAATGTTATAAGGAAAGACAATTTGCTGAACGATACAGAAATAGCGAGACAAAGAAGAACAAGAAGACTTTATCTGAATTTCTTAACACCAAAGAGAAACTGTGTACCTTATATCATATTTTAGAGGAATGCGAAACAAGCCACACGGGGACGGAAATATTTAGCTCTAGATCTTTCGCAGTCTCGTGCGTCGTCAGGAGCTATGCAATGTTGCAAGACAGCAACAGATAAGAGGAGAAATTATCTGAGGGAAAGCAGAAGGTATCAGTGGTAACCCATGTCATAGTGACATTGCATAGCTCCTGACGACGCATGAGTGTGAAAGATCTAGAGCTAAAGATTTCCACCCCCGCGTGGCTTGTTGAGCAGTGTTAAGATCGCCTGTTTGCAACTGTCTAGCATTTTAGGAGAAGTTACTTTCAAGATACAATTTAGAGATTCATTAACTGGTACAAGTAACCATTATCAATGATGTGCCTTACCAAACTAGCCTAAAATGATTGATATAAATTTCTAAGGCACACAATCAAATTCTCGATCAGTCCAAAGAACCGTTTTAAAAATAGGTTAGACAAGTACATGAGTGGGTGTGAGGTGGACCTGCCTAGCATGGGCCAGTAGGCCTATTACAGTGCTCCTTCTTTCTTGCCTTCTTATTTTCACTACGAATAACTGAACCTAATCCTCACATATCACTAATTAGGTCAGGAAACAGGACCAGCGCTTCCAGACACCCACCTCGGTCACATGACCCGGCACTGCAGCTTTGGGTCACACGACCGATACCTTCCCTTGGCTTACCCATCCACCTCTTCCAAATGTAAAGGATAACTTGATGTTGTCTCACCGTCATGGAGGTTAGTGTAGGCTGGAATATCGTAGCGGGTGAGGAAGAAGGTCACCTGACTGCTGACAACTTGTTCCACTGTAGAGAAGAATGGAGCAGTGTGACCCTCGCTAGTAACTATAGCGAACCAACCTGAAGGACGGGCAGGAAAGGCCCAGGCTGGCGTCAGTACCCCATCAATAATAATAATAATAATAATAATAATAATAATAATAATAATAATAATAATAATACAAGGCCATGGTAACAACCATGGAAAGAACACATCCATGTCGCGACGGTCTGGAGTTTTGAGAGTCTCTGATCGCGGGTTCTATCCCCGCCCATGGTATGGTTTTTCACACATCCATGTATCAGGTCAACTTAGTGTTGTACAGAGACTTGAGAGCCCAGAGTGTGTGAAATCACAAGACTTTTATTCATAGTTATTAAAGGACTGATCAGGCTGAGGCACTGCCTAGGTCACCACTAATAGCCTAACTGATCACAGACTGGAGGAGAAAGAGAGCCTCCATGATTAGAAGGTAGGAGGAGGTGATGTGTACTCACCAGTGTAGGCCTCTGGGATGACGATAGCTGGACCCACGGGAGTCAGGCCTCCGTCCCTACCAGGCCTCAACGACACGCCCCTCACCTGCAAGTACCAGGTCACACCTCAGCCTCCCAAGTCATATTTCAACCTCTCAGGTCACACCTCAGCCTCCCAGGTCACACCTCAGCCTCCCAGGTCACACCTCAGCCTCCCAGGTCAAACTAGGTCTTACACAGTCACTCACTAACACAATTCATAAAAAAAAAGAATCCACATTGACTAACAATGCCTCAAGATATTACTACAGATCTCCTGCCCTGACCAACACACGCAATACTACTGGCAAAGAACAATACCTCGTGTCTATATTCTGAGACAACATCATCTATCACTTGGCCAGACTGCCCACTACACCTTGTAGAACGATAGTGAAAGGTTTTCAAAGAACCTCATTTAGAGTAATGGGAGAAGAAGGACGTAGAACTGAATGTTAATGGCACTCTGGGTCCGTGTACTGAATGTTAGATGATTCTCCAGAGTCCCTGGAGAACAATCCTACAGGATAACCCAGTAGCTGAGGCCTATTGGGTTATTCTGTAGGACTGCTGAGTTATGTTAGAAGCCTACGGGGTTATCCTGTAGGATTGTTGGGTTATATTAGAGGCCTACTTGCTTATCCTATAGGGCCTGTTGGGTTATTTCAGAGGTCTACTGGGTTATCCTATAGGCTTACGTGTTATCTTGAAGTTCTGCGTGTTATCTTGAAGCCCTGTGTATTATCTTAAAGCCCTGTGTGTTATTTTGAAGCCCTGTGTGTTATCTTAAAGCCCTGTGTGTTATCTTGAAGCCATGTGTGTTATCTTAAAGCCATGTGTGTTATCTTTAAGACGTGTGTGTTATCTTTAAGACGTGTGTGTTATCTTTAAGACGTGTGTGTTATCTTTAAGACGTGTGTGTTATCTTTAAGACGTGTGTGTTATCTTTAAGACGTGTGTGTTATCTTTAAGACGTGTGTGTTATCTTTAAGACGTGTGTGTTATCTTTAAGACGTGTGTGTTATCTTTAAGACGTGTGTGTTATCTTTAAGACGTGCGTGTTATCATTAAGACGTGTGTGTTATCTTTAAGACGTGTGTGTTATCTTTAAGCCATGTGTGTTATCTTTAAGACGTGTGTGTTATCTTTAAGACGTGTGTGTTATCTTTAAGACGTGTGTGTTATCTTTAAGACGTGTGTGTTATCTTTAAGCCATGTGTGTTATCTTTAAGACGTGTGTGTTATCTTTAAGACGTGTGTGTTATCTTTAAGCCATGTGTGTTATCTTTAAGACGTGTGTGTTATCTTTAAGACGTGTGTGTTATCTTTAAGACGTGTGTGTTATCTTTAAGACGTGTGTGTTATCTTTAAGACGTGTGTGTTATCTTTAAGCCATGTGTGTTATCTTTAAGACGTGTGTGTTATCTTTAAGACGTGTGTGTTATCTTTAAGGACGTGTGTGTTATCTTTAAGACGTGTGTGTTATCTTTAAGACGTGTGTGTTATCTTTAAGACGTGTGTGTTATCTTTAAGACGTGTGTGTTATCTTTAAGACGTGTGTGTTATCTTTAAGACGTGTGTGTTATCTTTAAGACGTGTGTGTTATCTTTAAGACGTGTGTGTTATCTTTAAGACGTGTGTGTTATCTTTAAGACGTGTATGTTATCTTTAAGACGTGTGTGTTATCTTTAAGACGTGTGTGTTATCTTTAAGACGTGTGTGTTATCTTTAAGACGTGAGTGTTATCTTTAAGACGTGTGTGTTATCTTTAAGACGTGTGTGTTATCTTTAAGACGTGTGTGTTATCTTTAAGACGTGTATGTTATCTTTAAGACGTGTGTGTTATCTTTAAGACGTGTGTGTTATCTTTAAGACGTGTGTGTTATCTTTAAGACGTGTGTGTTATCTTTAAGACGTGTGTGTTATCTTTAAGACGTGTGTGTTATCTTTAAGACGTGTGTGTTATCTTTAAGACGTGTGTGTTATATTTAAGACGTGTGTGTTATCTTTAAGACGTGTGTGTTATCTTTAAGACGTGTGTGTTATCTTTAAGACGTGTATGTTATCTTTAAGACGTGTGTGTTATCTTTAAGACGTGTGTGTTATCTTTAAGACGTGTGTGTTATCTTTAAGACGTGTGTGTTATCTTTAAGACGTGTGTGTTATCATTAAGACGTGTGTGTTATCTTTAAGACGTGTGTGTTATCTTTGAAACATGGTGATTGAGTCAAAAGTTTCTGTAGCTATGTAGTAGATTGTGAGGTCATTCTAGAAACCTGTTAGTCATTCTAGAAATTTGTTGGTCGTTCTAGAAACCTGTTGGTCATTCTAGAAATTTGTTGGTCGTTCTAGAAACCTATTGGCCATTCTAGAAACCTGTTAGTCATTCTAGAAATTTGTTGGTCGTTCTAGAAACCTGTTGGTCATTCTAGAAACCTGTTAGTCATTCTAGAAATTTGTTGGTCGTTCTAGAAACCTGTTGGTCGTTCTAGAAACCTATTGGCCATTCTAGAAACCTGTTAGTCATTCTAGAAATTTGTTGGTCGTTCTAGAAACCTGTTGGTCATTCTAGAAATTTGTTGGTCGTTCTAGAAACCTATTGGCCATTCTAGAAACCTGTTAGTCATTCTAGAAATTTGTTGGTCGTTCTAGAAACCTGTTGGTCATTCTAGAAATTTGTTGGTCGTTCTAGAAACCTATTGGCCATTCTAGAAACCTGTTAGTCATTCTAGAAATTTGTTGGTCGTTCTAGAAACCTGTTGGTCATTCTAGAAATTTGTTGGTCGTTCTAGAAACCTATTGGCCATTCTAGAAACCTGTTAGTCATTCTAGAAATTTGTTGGTCGTTCTAGAAACCTGTTGGTCATTCTAGAAATTTGTTGGTCGTTCTAGAAACCTATTGGCCATTCTAGAAACCTGTTAGTCATTCTAGAAATTTGTTGGTCGTTCTAGAAACCTGTTGGTCATTCTAGAAATTTGTTGGTCGTTCTAGAAACCTATTGGCCATTCTAGAAACCTGTTAGTCATTCTAGAAATTTGTTGGTCGTTCTAGAAACCTGTTAGTCATTCTAGAAATTTGTTGGTCGTTCTAGAAACCTGTTAGTCATTCTAGAAATTTGTTGGTCGTTCTAGAAACCTGTTGGTCATTCTAGAAATTTGTTGGTCGTTCTAGAAACCTATTGGCCATTCTAGAAACCTGTTAGTCATTCTAGAAATTTGTGGTCGTTCTAGAAACCTGTTGGTCATTCTAGAAATTTGTTGGTCGTTCTAGAAACCTATTGGCCATTCTAGAAACCTGTTAGTCATTCTAGAAATTTGTTGGTCGTTCTAGAAACCTGTTGGTCATTCAAGAAATTTGTTGGTCGTTCTAGAAACCTATTGTCATTCTAGAAACCTGTTAGTCATTCTAGAATTTGTTGGTCGTTCTAGAAACCTGTTGGTCATTCTAGAAATTTGTTGGTCGTTCTAGAAACCTATTGGTCATTCTAGAAACCTGTTAGTCATTCTAGAAATTTGTTGGTCGTTCTAGAAACCTGTTGGTCATTCTAGAAATGTTGTTGGTCGTTCTAGAACCTATTGGGCATTCTAGAACCTGTTAGTCATTCTAAATTTGTTTGGTCGTTCTAGAAACCTGTTGGTCATTCTAGAAATTTGTTGGTCGTTCTAGAAACCTATTGGCCATTCTAGAAACCTGTTAGTCATTCTAGAAATTTGTTGGTCGTTCTAGAAACCTGTTGGTCATTCTAGAAATTTGTTGGTCGTTCTAGAAAACCTATTGGCCATTCTAGAAACCTGTTAGTCATTCTAGAAATTTGTTGGTCGTTCTAGAAACCTGTTGGTCATTCTAGAATTGCTGGTCGTTCTAGAAACCTGTTGGTCATTCTAGAGATCTATTAGTCAGTCTACAGACCTGCTGTCATTCTGGCGGCCTGGTGGTCATTCTGGCAGACCTGTTGGTTATTCTAGATACCTGATAGTCATTCTAAATACCTTCTGGTCATTCTAGAGACCTGTTGGTCATTTTAGAGACCTGTTGGTCATTCTAAAGATCTGTTGGTCATTCTGGTGGCCTGTTAGTTATTCTAGAGACCTGTTGGTCAGTCTACAGACCTGCTGGTCATTCTAGAGACCTGTTGGTCAGTCTACAGACCTGCAGGTCATTCTAGAGACCTGTTGGTCAGTCTACAGACCTGCAGGTCATTCTAGAGACCTGTTGGTCAGTCTACAGACCTGCAGGTCATTCTAAAGACCTGTTGGTCAGTCTACAGACCTGCAGGTCATTCTAGAGACCTGTTGGTCAGTCTACAGACCTGCAGGTCATTCTAGAGACCTGTTGGTCAGTCTACAGACCTGCAGGTCATTCTAGAGACCTGTTGGTCAGTCTACAGACCTGCAGGTCATTCTAAAGACCTGTTGGTCAGTCTACAGACCTGCAGGTCATTCTAGAGACCTGTTGGTCAGTCTACAGACCTGCAGGTCATTCTAGAGACCTGTTGGTCAGTCTACAGACCTGCTGGCCATTCTAGAGACCTGTTGGTCAGTCTACAGACCTGCAGGTCATTCTAGAGACCTGTTGGTCAGTCTACAGACCTGCAGGTCATTCTAGAGACCTGTTGGTCAGTCTACAGACCTGCAGGTCATTCTAGAGACCTGTTGGTCAGTCTACAGACCTGCAGGTCATTCTAGAGACCTGTTGGTCAGTCTACAGACCTGCAGGTCATTCTAAAGACCTGTTGGTCAGTCTACAGACCTGCAGGTCATTCTAGAGACCTGTTGGTCAGTCTACAGACCTGCAGGTCATTCTAGAGACCTGTTGGTCAGTCTACAGACCTGCTGGCCATTCTAGAGACCTGTTGGTCAGTCTACAGACCTGCTGGTCATTCTGGTAGTGCATGTGACTAGAAAGTACATATGAACATTCGTTGCGACTGGATGGTTGAAATTCTCAAAAAATATAACTGAGAAAAATACGTAATGTGTATAAGACTTAAGGTTGTGCACTGACCTTAGTTGAGGTGTAGTTGGTGTATAGCAGCAGTGGGCGTGAGAGGTCCAGCCCCGGCGGGGCGGTGGGCGTGTGCAGGTGGGCGGCCAGGGGTAGTTTGTGGAGACGCAGCAAGTTCTTCGGGGTTAGGGCGCCTCCTGCGGCCAGCGAGTGCGGCCATACCCCTGACACCCGCCCGCATGAGGACCCCGAAGAGTGGGAGGTGGACATTGCGGCTGCGGCTGTTATAGGGATGGCGGGCGTCCGCAGGGGCTGCGACCCACCATCCTACCTGCGGGAGTGCACCCTGGGTGTTCTGGGGAGGGCGGTGAGGGAGACAGAGATAACAGAAACAGAGGGAGATAATGGAGACAGAAAGAGATAATGAAAAAAGCTAATAAGATAAGGAAGAGGCAGCAGGAGAGGCACTAACAATTCCTCTGCTGACAGTGTGGCGGGTACTGTAATAATAAAGTGCAAGGTTCTCCTCACACCCCCCCTAATATCTCTCTCGACGTTAAATGCTTTTACAAATGAGGGAGAACATATCATACTTAAACAACTAAACACACGTTACAACATTCCCAATATCTTGTTCTCATTCTTTCACTTACAAGTTCAAACCACCCATCATTAAGACACCCATTTAAGGCCGCGTAACATTTATTCAGCTTTTGTAAAAAAAATATATATATATATATATATATATATATATATATATAAACTAGGAAAAAATAAATTCTTGGCCTTGACAGAGAATATTTCTGCCGCTGTTGTTGTGGAGACAGAAGGCAATTATAGCGTCTGACAGGTGACAGGAGGTGATGACATGCGTCTACCCTGAAGACGACCCACCACACTGTAAGGTCGCCGGCTACCACCTTAGCGTCCTCAACGAACCACCCTGATGGACGTCTGAGTCAGACGAGTTTTTCTGACGAGTGAAGACACTTCGATCACCCTCGGCCAGTTGTAAACTAGCGTCTACCTTATTTCAACCCTTCTTAATAAGCGTACATGAGAACATAAGAAAGAAAGAACACTGAAACAGACCTAACGGCCCTTAGTAGGCAAGTCCTTCTCAAATCCAAACCCACTAACAAAAATATTGAGCAGTGAGAGGTGTGAGAGGCTGGTGGTTCTTCACAGTGGGAGGACCAACGCCTCGCCAGGTCTTTCCTCATCAACACGTCAACAAAAATCTCGTTTTACCCATCCGGAAAAGTTACTCCTAGCGTTGCCATGGTAATGAAAGAAAGGACAAATGGGTAGCGTGGTATTTGTTACAGATACCCAGGTGTGTGCGGTATAATGCCGGGTTACTACGTTTTTTTTTCCTTTTAAAACAGTTTACAAAGTACGAAGGTACGGGTTTGGGACGACTGGGAGAAGAGAGTAGGGTGGAAATATGAAATGATTTTTAAATCCCGACAAGTTTTTAAGAAAGACCTTGCAAAATTAGGTGTGTGTGGTGGTGTGTGTGTGGGGTTGTGTGTGGGTGTGTGTGTGTGTGGTGTGTGTGTGTGTTGGTGTGTTTGTGTGTGTGTTGTGTGTTGGTTTGGTGTTGTGTTTTTGTGTGTTTTGGTGTGGTGTGTGGTGTTGTGTGTGTGTGTGGTGTGGTGTGTGTGTGTGTGTTTGTGTGTGTGTGTGTCTTTTTTGGGGTTGCGGGGGTCCGAGTCACAGTCCTGGCCCGCCTTTCTCTGGTCGTGTGTGTAATGGGGAAAGGTCAGGAGAGTGAAAGAATGAACGCAAAAAGGTGGATGGGAAGGGGGATGACGGTAGGGGGGAGAGAGAGAAGAGAAAGGGGGAGAGAGAAGAGAGAGAAAGAGAGAGAGAGAGAGGAAGGAGAGAGAGAGAGAGTCAGTGTGGGGAGGGGAAACAACGAGGTGCAGCCAAGTAGCGGAACTGAAAAACAGAAATATATGAATATTTTTTTTTAAAAATATGTAAAAAAATTTGGCAAATTTTTAAAAAAAAAGAAAAATTGGGAAAACGGTCCAGTGGGACCTGCCAAGCCGGTCCAGTGGGCCTGCCTAGCAGGCCCAGTAGGCCCTGCCTGCAGGTCCGTGGCCCCTGCCTACACGGTCCAGTAGGCCCTGTACAGGTCCATAGGCCTCCCCTACCGGTCCGTAGGACCTGCCTAGCACGGCCCCAGTGGAATGCCTAGATGGTCCAGTAGGACCTGCTAGCCTTCCAGTAGGCCCTGCCTAGCACGGTCCAGTAGGACCTGCCTAACGGCCCATGGGCCCCTGCCTAGCACGGTCCAGTGGACCTCCCTAGCACGGCCCATAGGCCCCTGCAGGGTCCAGTTGGACCTCCCTTTTGCCGGTCCAGTAGACTCCTAGCCGGTCCGTGGGACCTCCCTACACGGTCCATGGGACCTCCCTAGCAGGGTCCGTAGGACTTGCCAGCACGGTCGTAGGACCTCCCTAGACGGCCAGTAGGACTTGCCTAGCAGGTCCGTAGGACGCCTACAGGGGCCCGTAGACCTGCCTGCAGGGTCCGTAGGCTGCCTACATTTCCCCGTAGGACCCCCTAGCAGGGCCAGTAGGCCTCCCAGCACGGTCCGTAGGCCCCTGCCTAGACGGCCCCAGTAGGACCCCCTAGCACGGTCCGTAGGCCCTGCCTAGCACGGCCGTGGGCCTGTAGCACGGTCCCATGGGACCGCCTAGACGGTCCAGTGGGGACCTGCCAGCACGGCCCCAGGGGGGACCTGCTATGTAGGGGGCCATTATTCTGGTGCAGAGTTTCTTCGTTAATAATAATAATAATAATAAAAAAAAATAATAATAATAATAGCTTAATTTCCAAGTCATATACAAGGTATACGTCCTACTGCTCAATGACTACTACTATAAAAGAAACCCGCTGTTATGCTGGCATTTGGGGCCCAAATTAGGTAAAATTTTTGTCCCAGGAGCCACCATACCGGTCCCCATTTTACTGCAGGAAAAAGGGGAGAGCAGGTCCCCCAAAACCAGCTTAAACTTCGCGAGTAGATATGATAATGGGTACAATACGAAAAGTTGAAAAGTGGTTCTTCTCGAGACGAGGGGAAAAGCAGAGGCAGTAGAGTTTAAAGATTGTAATCAGTCCTCAGTCTGGAGAAGAGTTTGCATTAGTAAAGCTTCCCCTGTTCCAGACTAGGGGAAAACTTTCCCCGGGCTGGGGGACTGATTACTAGTCTTTAACTCTTGCCTCTGCTGCCTCCTTTTACTGGGACTGTAGTACCTACGTGTGGGGTAAAATCGTTTTCAAAATAAAGAACCTAACTGCGCACATGTGTCTTACCTATGAGTTTCACAGAAGGTGGACACAAAAATCCACTGTACATAAGCTCTCAATGAAACTTTGGGCTTATGTATCTAATTTCTTCGTGTGTGTGTACTCACCTTTCGTACTGCTTTTTTTGGTTGCGGGGGGTGATTCACAGCTCCTTTTCCTACTCTTTGCTGGTCGCTACTAGGTCCACTCTCTCCCTGCCCCATTGTTTTTCATATCTCTTCTTGAAGCTATGTATGGATCTCCCACTCACCCATCTCCAAAATGTTCCACTTCCTGAAAAACTCTTCGATGAAGAAATATTCCTAACCCCCCGTGACACTTTGGCTTAAACTTCCATTTGTGACCCCTTTTGCTGTGTCCCATCTCTGGAAACCCTTCCCATCCCCTCGTAAATTCCTTCTATTTTATAGTCGTTATTATGCCCCCCTTATCCTCCCGTTCCCTTTGTGGTGTGTGTTGGTACTCACTTAGCTAGGGTTGCAGGGGTCGTTTTTGTGGGGGTTTTTGAAAACGGTATCTTTCGAGAACAAACACACTTTTATGTCTGGCAGCACTAAAAAAACGGAGCGACACCTGCAAACCCAGGGGGAGGAGGGGGGGTTTAAATAACCCGGAAAAACCATTAACCCCAAGCAGGTTGGCTTATATTCACTCGAAAGCGGTAACAACAGGGTCATTCACCACCTGGAGAAACAGGAGGAGATCAGATTAAAATTTTTGGAAATGGGAAAGTTTTGGGGGTTACCATTTCCTCGTCGTAAGATATGTACCATTCCCTGGAAGGGGGGTAGTGGTTCAGAGTGGCCCAACCCTGCGGTCCATCACCAGGGAAGGAGAGCTGCCGGCCCAGAACACGTTTCATGGTTACCTGGAGAGGGTTTCGGGGGGTCAACCCCCCTGGGGCCCGGGTTTGAGACCGGGCCATTAGGTCTGGTAACATCTGGGAATGGGGACCACAGGCAAGATAAAGGGGGGGGAGGCTGATTTACGGCCTCTTTTCCAATTCTTCTTCCTTCTAATTCCTTTAAAAAGTTTGCTTAGGTACAGGTACAATAAATGCAGTTACACAATTATTTTTTAAAAAGTAACATATTTTAAAATTAAAGCTAATCTGCTAACCAAAAAAACTCAGAAAAGGGACTATTTCCCCTTCTCGTCTTCTTTGAGTTTCCTTTATTTTCCCTTTTTTTAAACCCAAATTCCCGTTTTCTTTTTACTGGTTGTTCAGGGTAAACTCCATTATGGGGCCCTAAAATATTTTTCCTTGTTATGGTCCCGGTTGGTGTCAAGTATGTCAGGTGGCAGGCCCCATTAATCGGGGCCCCTGAGGGTGGGCCCATTAAGAGCCCCGACGCTGCCCAGGCCCCTATTTCCCCCCCCCATTATGGACTGATTCAACGCACCAATGGACCGGTTTAACGCCACCAGGGGGCCCGGTTAAACACACCAGGGACCGGTTCAACACCCCCCGTGGACGGTTCAACACCACCAGTGCCCCGGTTAACACCACCAGTGGACCTTTTCAAAACCACCATGCACCGGTTCAACCCACCAGTGCACCGGTTCGCCCACCAGTGGCCGGTTCAACACCCCGTGCACGGTTAAAAAACCCACAGTGGACCGGTTCAAACCCCGTGGCCGGTTAAACCCCACGTGGACCAGTAAATGTGCTTTTACCAGGACTGATGGCTGAACAAATCGACTAAGGCTGGGGGACTGTTTCCTCAACCCCCTCTCTTCCCCCGTTCTCTCCAGGTGGAAAAAAAACCACTGGCGGCGAAACGTTTCACAAAAAAAAACCCAGATGTTGCACATGGTCTCATTTATCAACCTTGTTTTCTCAACCATTTTTTTAAAAATTTTATCACATTTTTTTCCTTTGCAGAAGGCATGTGTTTGAGAAAAAGTAATAAAAAAATAATAAATAATAAAATAAAAATAATTTTCATTTCAACCAGTAATGATACCTTTTTACAGCCAAGCGAATAATAATATACATATAAAAAACCCCCTTGTTATGCAGAGCATTTTGGGCAAAATTTGGATATTTTGTCCCCCGGATGCGTCCACACCAGCCACTAACACCCCGGTACCCATTTTTACCCATGGGTGAATATAGACAGCAGGTGTCTTAAGGAAAAATCCAATGTCTCCCCCCGTGCCCCGGGATCGAACCCCGGACCCCAGTACGTGAAAATGAGTGTGTACCCGTTTGAAACAGTTAGTGCCTTGCCAGTTTAAAAGACTACAGGATCCAGGGGCATTTTGTGTTTGTCTATTTTGCTATTTACTTACTATACGATACTACTACCTCTTCCCCTACCGCATTTCCCTACCACTATTTCTCCTTTTTTTCTTTCCCTTTTGTCTCCCTCCCTGTATTTT